TGTGCTCCTGATTGCTACCCCACGCCAACAAGCTGGGCCAGCAGATAAGCCAAAATATGCTGCAAAAGTACCTTCCATGTATTTTTTAAAAATTGGCTGCTGCTTTGCTTCTGTCTTCTAAATTTTATGTAAAATGTCTGCTGGGTAATAACTCAAGGGATAAAAAGAAAGGAATTCTGGAAAATGTAGTTATAGTTTAGCTCAGTTGACACAATCCAAATCCATCACTGTCCACCCCTTGAGAACCTGGCATCCATACATGTGTACATGCCGCTGAGTGGGCTCCGACTCCTGCCGACCCTATTAATGAGTGATGTCCACAACGTCCTGCCCTCTACAGCCCTGCTCAGCGCCTGAAGACTCATGCCTATGGCTTCTTTCATGGAGTCAATCCATCTCATATTTAGTCTTCCTCTGTTCTGCTGCCTTCTATTTTTCACGGTAGTATTGTCTTTTCCAAAGAACCCTGCCTTCTCGTGATGTGCTGGAAATAGGAAAACTTTGGTATTGTCATTTTTGCCTCCAGAAATGTTTCGGGCTTAATTTGCTTGAGGACCCACTTGTCTTTTGGTGGTCCAGGGTTTCCGTAGAGCTCTCTTCCAACACCGTATTTCAGATGAACCAATTTTCTTCCTATCCGCCTTCTTCACTGTCAAACATAAGTAACTGGGAAGACGAAGGTGTGCATGCATCCATATACACCTCTTTTAATACACTTAGCTTTCAAATAAAGACAGTGGTAAAACTGGCTCTCTCTTGGATAACAAAACCATGCTCATTCTATCCCAAAAGAAGATACAAAATCCCTCTTTGGATGATGATTTGTCTTTGAGCTGAGTCACATTCTCCTTTAATATCCTGTGACTTAAATAGTGAGATAGGACATTAACTACTAACCCTTCTTGTATTGGATGGGAGGTAAATGGAAATGGCAAATAGAAAAAAAGTTGGTTAATGTATACACAAATGCATTTATATCAAAATAAGGAAAAAATATTCCTATCACAGTCTTTGTTTCTGCAACTGGTCAGGTGGTCATGGCTGAGATTATGTTCTTCCACTAGCCATTTCATACTCCCTTTGGCTTTAGCAAGCACCTTGGCTATTCATGGGTATTTGACTGGTGTGATGACCCAAACCTTCATTCCTAAACAGTCCAGGTCATTAGCCATCCTGCCTGTATTGGGTATAGCTTTCCATTGTCTTTAATCACAAGACATAGGAGTACTAAGAGATGCCCCCAAAGATATGATACATTCCTCCTTACCCTACCATTACATAGCAGCAACCCAATTACCCCTTGATTGTCAGATCAGATGAATGTAATGGACTAACATGATGTCCTGTGGAATGGAGTGATAATCAAGGTCTCTGCAGACTAGATTATGGCAGAGAGTTCACACAGCCCTGAGACTGGACAGTGAAAGTAGACTACTGGCCCTGCCAGGTGAAAGCAAACTGGTTCTGATGGTCCTTACTAAGAGGTTACAGAAAAAAAAAATGCTTTCAATCAGATTAATAGCTGCAAACCAAATAGCCAAGTCTGTGTTAATGTGCTCTAGCAATGAAACCACACCTGGATAGCATCTGCAATTAGAGTAATCAACTGATTAATGTTATAGAAATCCATTATCATTCTCCAAGATCCATCTGTCCTCTGACCCGAGGCAAATTAAATTGAGATGTGGTAGGAATCACCACCCTGGCATCTTTAAAGTCCTGATGATGGCAGTAATCTCTAAAATCCCTCTGAGAATGCAGTATTG